CGTCTCAACATATACAAAAGGAAAAGCAAGACTCTCAGATACAACACAACATGCAACAATCGAATGACACTTGATGGAGAAGCTATGTAAGATGCAAAATCCTTTACATATCTGGGCAGCATCATTGATGAATGCAGTGAATCTGATGCAGATGTGAAGGTGCTGATCGGTTAAGAAAGAACAGCATATCTACAATTAAAGAATATCTGGAACTCAAAACAACTGTCTGTCAACCAACACCAAGGTAAGAATTTTCAATACAAATATCAAGACAGTTCTACTGTATGGGGTGGAAACCCGGAGAACTACCAAAGCCATCATTCAGAAGATACATGCGTTTGTTAACAGTTGTCTACACAAAATACTTCGAATTCGTTGACCAAATACTATCAGCAACAAACTACTGTGGGAGAGAAAGAAACCAGATTGCAGTGGAGGAAGAAATCAGGAAGTAGTGCTGGAATCGGATAGGACACATATTGAGGAAAGTACCAACTGTGTCATGGGGCAAGTCCTCACTTAGAATCCTCAAGGCTAAATAAAGGAGAATTGAAAAATAAAAGGACACATTACGCCGAGAAACGGAGACAAACATGAAAAGAATGAAGAACATTTGAATAGAACTAGAAAAGAAGTTCTAGGACAGAGTAGATTGGAGAATGCTTTTCAACGTCCTATGCTCCATTAGGAGTAACAGGTATAAGTAAGCAAGTATATAAATCAAATGGCTTAATATATTTATAACTGACGACATAATCTTTTCTGTTCCTGATTCAGATATCTAATATTCCCTTCTTCTTCTTCTTCTTCTTCTTATTTTTTCTTCTCAAATTTAATCATGGATAATTTGATTCAACATGAAACCAAATAAGTTACACTATCGTGTATTCTGGTCATTTTCATTTCTCTATTCTATCACGTTAGAACAAAACAAAACAAAAACTTGGCTAATAAATTACGTAATAGGTTCTGTAATTTTTTAAAAGGAGAATCATAGTCTTTAGTTTTTTTTCTTTATCGAATTAGAATATCACTTTAAACAAGGATCATTATGTGGAGTTTGTTGTGGTTACATTGATATTATGAATGAATAGATGTTAGACTACTATTGAAAACTTGGAAGCATTGAATGTCTGTTTTCTGTTATAGTATGAAACTCTTCAGTAGGACTCGAACATAAGATATTCAGTCTCGCATGTAAATGCTTAACCTCCAGACAAATGAGCCGATATCCAACGTTATTCATGTCTTACATCCACTATCATTATCTTCCGTGAGTAATTGTCTCACACCAGACACAGTTGAACAATTATTGGGGCACAGGAGAAACGTTATGACCGTTCGACGCTGCCCGCGCTTTCGTTTCAACGACCTTGAACAGCCTGACAAGAGGCGGTCATTCTGTATTTCTTTCATGTGGGACTCGAACACAAGATATTCAGTCTCGCACGTAAATGCTTAACCTCTAGACAAATGAGCCGATATCCAACGTTATTCATGTCTTACATCCACTATCATTATCTTCCGTGAGTAATTGTCTCACACCAGACACAGTTGAACTCTTATTGGGGCACAGCAGTAACGTTATGACCGTTCGAAGCTGCCCGCGCTTTCGTTTCAACGACCTTGAACAGCCTGACAAGAGGCGGTCATTCTGTATTTCTTTCATGTAGGACTCGAACACAAGATATTTAGTCTCGCACGTAAATGCTTAACCTCCAGACAAATGAGCCGATATCCAACGTTATTCATGTCTTACATCCACTATCATTATCTTCCGTGAGTAATTGTCTCACACCAGACACAGTTGAACTCTTATTGGGGCACAGCAGTAACGTTATGACCGTTCGAAGCTGCCCGCGCTTTCGTTTCAACGACCTTGAACAGCCTGACAAGAGGCGGTCATTCTGTATTTCTTTCATGTAGGACTCGAACACAAGATATTTAGTCTCGCACGTAAATGCTTAACCTCCAGACAAATGAGCCGATATCCAACGTTATTCATGTCTTACATCCACTATCATTATCTTCCGTGAGTAATTGTCTCACACCAGACACAGTTGAACTCTTATTGGGGCACAGCAGTAACGTTATGACCGTTCGAAGCTGCCCGCGCTTTCGTTTCAACGACCTTGAACAGCCTGACAAGAGGCGGTCATTCTGTATTTCTTTCATGTAGAACTCGAACACAAGATATTCAGTCTCGCACGTAAATGCTTAACCTCTAGACAAATGAGCCGATATCCAACGTTATTCATGTCTTACATCCACTATCATTATCTTCCGTGAGTAATTGTCTCACACCAGACACAGTTGAACTCTTATTGGTCATGGCTTTTCACACTAACATTCCAGGTTTTTTAATGATAGTCTAACATTGATCCATTTCATGATATTAATTTATTTTTTAGTTTGTCTTATGAATAACTTCAATGAAATATTCTTATTGTAGTGGCTATGCTTCATTAACCAATCCACCCTCGTAACTGTTATCATATAATCCTTAACGGTGTTTAAAATCACAAGGCAAAAAGAAGCAGCGACTACAGTTTTATTAGCAGATAAACTTAAACTACAAAGCAGAGACGTGAATGAGTGAATCAGCGAACCGAGAGTGTAGAGTGTACAGGTTAAAATGTACATGTATATATATAGGGAAATGAATGGATCATCGAATCAATTAAGCAGTCAATAATAGAGCTAGCAGAATGAATATATGCGTAGGCGGTAAAAGTAATGTTCAAGTATACATATTTCATACAAGCACAACAATAATAATGGTACAATAAGTTGTTATACTACGAATGACTCTATCCTCTAAACAAGTTAACAAAAGGGCTTAATCATATCAGATGTAACCAAACTCAGTTGCATTTGAGCTGCTATATTATTTACAAAGTAAGGAAGTACTGTATGATTACTTTGATCTATTTGAAAACTCCTTCATACATTAGATATCCAACATTACTTCAAGTCAAATGTAGGATCAGAGTCGAAACCCATTAGAATTCATAACATTATTATTATTATTAGTGGCTTTATTCAATAGTATAGTTTTTGATACAATATAGAATAGTCAGCATAAAAGATTTCAGTGAGTTTCCGTTTCTCAAGTCTTGGTCAATCCTGACAATAACATATTGAGTCATCGGCAGTTAGATGTTAACTGATCAGGTATCGATATTTGTCAACAACCACGATATCTTTGGTTAGACCTTTCATAACTTGTACAATGAAAGGTTGTACACTTTTCACAAACGCACCTGAATGAATGATGCAATTCACTGATATAATGATGTGTTAAAACAAATAAGAAAGCAAAGAACTTATTGAACTATATAGATGACAAGAACAGGTAACTCAGATATTTGAGAAGGTCGCCTTTGTTTAAATAAATCTCATTGTGAATATGGAAAATTCTAGATTATATTCTGTGATAGGTTAGTGAATATACGCTAAGATCCACTTCGGCATAACAAACCACTAAGTTTTATAAACAAAGATAAATAGTAGCTAGTAGTGGAATTCAGGATGCGCGTTTCATCCTATTTAGGACTCTTCAACTGTATTTACTCTCATCTCTGAGTTGATGTTCACTCCAGGACTCGAATCCAGTACCGTTTGCTTCAAACGCCATCGTGTCATCCACTAAGCTACTGTGTCCTGATAACTACCTGCTTGTGTAATAGGGTGAAGTTTAAATTCACACAGGACATGCATATGCGAACAAGTGACTGATCAATTACAGTCCTGAATAACAATAGTAAGATACAGGCAAATAATACCAATTTCTTTTTCTTTTACTGATATACTCTGGGACTTCAATGAATTATAAATTGAGAATATATTACACATAATATATTTACATTGTTTATTCAGGACATCTGCTGTGACCGGGTGAAAGTGATCAATCATCTTGAATAGTACCCGATAGTTACATAATCATTTATCAAAGTATAGTTACTTTAAATGAAGCTTTCACTGTTCATAAACGTGATATTGTCTTTATTTTATTAAAAATCCTAAGCCACGTCAAATATCACACCAATTAGACCATTGACTTATATGACTTTATCATTGTGTTAAACTAATGATGCTTCAACCAGTACGAGAAACCTACAGTCAACTCTGTATTTATATTAGTCCTGTGAGGTAGTAGATTCTCATTTAACCCAGCCGCTTTAGTCCAGAACATCAATATTAACCTCCGTTATATGAATCCTGTATTTCAGACATAACTGGTTTATATACAAACAAAATAGGCTGCATCATATCATAAAATAGAAACCAAAATTTTATACAAGATCAATTCAAAAGTGTCTGTGAGTTTGGGGAACCTCAACTAATAAATCGAACTCCACCTGGAGTCCCTTTCCGGGGGCTACTGCCGGTCCCAAGCCCGGATAAAGGAGGAGGGTTGGGCATGGGGTTAGTGACCCCATCCCGTAGAAAACTAACTCGCTAAAAAAACGCTAACCAGAAAAATTTATTCAAACCATTCAACTAATAAATCGGGAATAATTTAAGAATAATAAGTCGTATAACAGTAGTCAATAGGTCAATTGGGAGCTTATAATGAAAGGAATATGAATGTACACATAATGTAGTTACTTGATGGTTATACAATAAGAATATTCATATCATATTGGTCCGTAAATAGATTCTAGCGTTTACTACTCATTGATTCTTCGTCTGGATATAACATACTGGATGATCATTTCATCCTAGTATTGAACTATACAATCCTATACTGATATTATTTATATTTTATTTATTTGAACAAGAAACGCTTTCACAATGTCAGTATAGGGTTGTAGAGATCACTGATTTTTTGATCCAGATCATAAACCCGATTGATGTTAAACTATCATTGAAAACCTGGAAGCATTGGAAGGCCGTTTTATCCTATTGTGAGATTCCTCAACAGTGGGTATTCATAATGATCTCTTAATTCGTTTTTATTCATGTTTTTGTTTTGTTGTTTTCTTTTCTTTTGGCAGCTTCCTACAATATTATAACTGGTAGTTAAAATGAATGAAGAACCCATCCCACCCCACCCCACCCCACCGCACCCCACCGCACACCACACCACCCATCCCCCCCCGCCAAAAAAGAAACGGAATAGAATAACAAATAATAGAAACCTCAACAACTGTATGGAATGTTCAATGAATGATGATAAAAGGTCTGATCAGCTGTTTATAAGACAAGTAGACAATAGAAAGTATTCAACACAATATCAAATTTGCTTGTCTATCACTTACATTGGCTATTATTATTCTTATTCTTACTATTCATAATAAACGAACTAAGCAATGTATGCTAATGCATTTTATAACTAAATCTATACTTTAATGCTTAGTTAGCTAATACAATTTTTATGCTTATCAAATTATAGACATTTATTCAGTTGATTATATTTCTTTTAAGTATTATATTCATCCATTGTATTACGTCATCACTATTGCCTTCCGCTTCATCATCACCATCCTCATCCTCCTCATCATCATCAACATCATCATCCTCATCCTCCTCATCATCATCAGCATCCTCATCAACATCATCATCATCGTGGTTATCATTCTTATCAATCATTCATATTGTCGTTGACCATATCTTCTAAAGAAGAATAAATAACATAACTCTCCTTCATTCAATGGTACACCATGTGCTTTTCTTTTTTCTTTTCGTTGCGTTTTTTTTCACCTTTTTCATAATGTTTCTTTCTTGAATTTCATAATAATAACAAATGTAATTATCAGCATTTTGTATTTCTCCCAACCCAACACCATCCCCTCCCACCCCACCTCACCTCACCCCCTCACTTTCACATTCACACACACACACACACTTTATGTGTCTTATTTGCTCTCATTTCATTAAACCTACTTGATTTATAGTTTGCTTTCAATGCTTTTCTATATATATACATGAATATGAGCTATCCGTTTGTTTGATTAAATCATCACATGTGCTTCAATGAATAATGGATAATAAGAAAAAGAAGAAGAAGAAGAAGTAATAACGTTGAAGATTATGTAATATGACATTTCATGACAATAATATAGTGAATGTTATGTAATCTATTACTATTTCTTCCATTCAATGTAGACTACTTATGATTTATATTAATATAAGTTTATATTTATAAGCAAAGATGGATAGTGGCTAGTAGTGGAATCCAGTTTGACACGCGTTTCGTCCTATTTGAGACTCGTCACCTGGATGCACCTGTATCTCACAGTTGATGTTCACTCTGCCGCTTGAACCCAGTACCGTCCGCTTCAAACGCCATCGCGTTATCCACTTAGTTACTGAGTCCTGATAACCACTTTCTTGTGAAATGGGGTGAAGTTTAATTCCCTTGATATTGTTTTACTTGAAACTTCCCATTGATATTTAGGACTGAAATTGTTCAGTCTCTTATTGGCATATGTGCATACTGTGCGTATTGCCTCAATATTGAAGGTACATCCAGCTGACGAGTCTCAAATAGAACAAAACGAGCGTCAAACTGGATTCCACTACTAGCCACTATCCATCTTTGCTTATAATGCTTGTAAATTAAGGCAATATCAAGGCAATACGCACAGTATGCACATATGCCAATAAGAGACTGATCAATTTCAGTCCTAAAGATCAATGGAAAGATTCAAGTAAAACAATATCAAGTGAATTAAGCTCATATTTGTTCATTATTTGAATGGTTACAATGAATAAAACGAGATAGACACTGATATATCTTGGTTTCATAGTTGAGAATTATATTATATGCTCACTAGTGATTAACTATAAGAGAGAATTCTTAGAGTTTTAGTGAAAAGCCGTGACTAGTGGAGCTAGTTCATATCGGGTAGAGACAAATATGATTGCACAATTTTGTGGATTGGTTAGTGTTAAACATTAATACTGTTGTATACTGGCTTAGTAGTATAGAGGTTAGGCGTTCGTGTGTCAGAACGAAGTTCTTAGAATCGACAATTCCCACATAAGGAATCGTGGATGCGCACTGCTGAGGAGTCCCATACCAGGACGAAACGGCCGTTTAGTGATTTTAGGTTATCAATGATGTTTTAACTTTGATCGATTCATGATCTTAATCAAAAACTCAACAATCTTCATAACCTTATACTGGAAATTTGTCATGATTGACCTTCATTGTTTTGAACGACGCATAATTTTAGTGTATAATATTTCCATGCTAAATGTTATAAGATGAATAATAAGAAGTCATGGAACGCAGAATTGGTACAAGTTGATTTTTGTTAGTAAGAAATATTTGCAACCAGTAATTCATAGAGACTTCTTTAATCTGTGAACAATCTTGTGAAGGGCATAGAAATTTGCACTATTCAATCACTAACTAGTAGGCATCATCATATCAGAGTGGTTGACAGATTTACTGGTTTAACTTGATTATTTCATAAACCTCTTAATCAAATAAACCACAATACTAAAGTCTTCATTATAACCGAATACAAGTTTCGATGTTCTCAGTGAGGTCTACTAAGTTGGCTAAACGATCACGTGCCAGACTGGGTTCGAAACTGAAAAGTCTTGCAATTTGAACGCTATACTTGGTTCCTAAGCTATTCCTAAAACCCTCAAGATACAACTATACAGCGACCTGAACACGAGAGAGAAGGCAAAAAGTATACGAAAGTACTTTACTCCAAGGTTGGTTTTAATACAGAAAAAATAGGGTTTTTTTATAATATTCTAAATGTTTTTGGGTTGCTCTAAGATTCTGAAATGCTACTAAACATAGTAGCAGTACAACAACCAGCCAATCAAAACCCCTACATGTGACGTTTCACATCCTTGATGTTTCTGGCTAAACTCCAAGTGAACACTGATTGGATGAAATACTTCTCAATGTTTCCTGATCCTTGCGTGTCTTTTGAGAGAAATTTTCTGGATTATTCCAACAGAAACCCGCGAACAAAGTCGTGGGTGTGCACTTCTGATGAGTCCTACAATAGGACGAAACGGACGTCTAGTACATACAGGTTTTCAATGGTGGTCTAACATCAATCGGTCTTGATCATTTATAGATGTATCATTTTTGCTGTCGTGAAAAAAACTCGATTAGTTTAAAAATGGCTAACAAGACTATATTGTTACCAAAATCAAACTGAACTTCTGTTATGTCAAGGAAGAATCCTCAAAGTACTATAACTTTTCATTGGTTATATATTACCAGGTGATTACCATTCAGAAGTAGTATCCAAGTTACATTATTAAAATATCAGTATTTTAACATTGAATACACAGAAAATAAATAAAATGGTTTCATTGCCATATTTACTTACACCTGTTACCACTGATGGATTAAATAAGCTACCTACCGATGTTAGACCACCGTTGATGTTAGACTCTAACGCCATTAGTAATCTCCACAACCCCAATACTGATAATTAACATGTGCTCATTAGTGACTAGCTTCGTGAGGGAATTCTCGGAGTTCTAGTATGAAGCCGTGATCAGTGGAGCTAATCCGTGTCGGGTAGAGACAGGTGTTTACCTCAGTACAATAGAAGATGGTCACACAATTTCGTGGATTGGTTGTGGTTAGACATTAACACCATTAGATGCCGGCTCAGTGGTCGAGTAAGTAAAGCGTTCACGCGCGAGACTGAAGACCCTGGGTTCGAATCCCGTGAACGGGATCGCGGATGAGCACTGTTGAGGTGTCTCATACTAGGACGAAACGGCCGTTCAGTGCTCCCAGGTTTCCAGCGATCGTCTAACATCATTCGATCCATGATCTTAATAATTAGAATTTATTATTAAAAATTATTAAAATTTTTCATAAATCTCGTTTCTAATTCCAACAATTTGACAAAGATAATCAGCAGTATAGAATTGTGGAGATTCTTAAACTACTGGTTGAGATTATGAACCGACTGATGTTAGATCACCATTGAAGTACTGCATATCCATCTCACCCTATTGTGGAACTGCTCGGCATTGCACATCTACGATCCCACTCGTGAGATTCGAACCCAGGGCCTTCAGCCTTACGCGCGAACACTCAACCTACTAGACCACTGAACCTCAATCAATCCACAAAATTGTTCGATCATCTCCTGAGGTAAATACCTATCTCTATCTGACACGGATTAACTCCACTGGTCACCACTTCTTGCAAGAACTCTAAGATTTCCATCACGAAGCTAGTCACTAGTAAACACATGATCAGATGATAAGAAGAAATTCATTGAAATGCACCATTCCCCTCCCGTCCAAAGCCTTGAATCTTAAGTTTCATAATAATGAAATAGAAAGAGATTTCATTTAATAATCACTCTATAGTGTTTTACTACTCATTAGATTTATTATATTACTTATAAGTAGTTTAGTAAAAATTTTCATAAATTTCATTTAGAATAGAATTTCTAATTTGATAAAAATAATCAAATGATCAAAATAAAAGAATTAATTGAAACATGTCTATCTTCCCCCCCCCCCACCAACACCTCAACCAACCCCACCCACCCTCGTCCACCGTTGACATCTTAAATCTTAAATTTCATGTTCAGTTTTATTTATTTAGTTTATTGACAATAATATTACACCGTACCCATGTCAATATCACATTTGAAAAAAAGTTCCATTTTTTTCTTCTTCTTCTTTTCTTTTTTTCTTTTCTTTGCTTTTTTTCTTTTTTCTTTTTTCTTCATTAATTTCTTTTATCAAAAAAAACTAATTTTTTTATTTATTTTTATTTTTAATTATTCTTCTATTTTTCTTTAATTAAATAAAATTATGCTTGAATTATTTTAATAAAAACAATTCAACACACCTTTCGATGATGATGATGATAATAACAACAACAACAACAATGACAACAACGTCAACAACGTCAACAACGTCAACAACAACAACGACAACGACAACAGCAACAACAACAGCAAAAAGAAAAAGAAAAAAGATGATTGTTTAGCAGAATGATATTTTTGTTGTTTTCTTTTTTCTAATTCATTATTGACAAGAAATTTTTTTGTTGTTTTGTTTTCTTTTTTCAAAAAATAAAGAAAAAATACAAGAAATAAATGGATTCTGTTCAATATTCAATTTGTTTCTATTCATTATTTATAATATGAATATTGTTTATTTATATGAATATGGATAGGGATGGGGATGGGGATGGGGATGGGGATGGGCATGGGGTTGGGATGGGATGGGGATAGGGATAATAGAAAGGAATCAAAATGAAATTATGTAAACAAAAACTACAAAAGTAAATGATATTGATATTCTTTGAGAGAGAAAAAAAAAGCGAAAAAAAAATATTTTGGTAACAATTATAGTTTGAAACATTAATGAGAAGATACAAGTAAACAACACCAAATGAATTTAAACTTTATCAGATTGCATAAACAAATGATTATCAAGGTTTAGTTGATAAGTGGATAACGTGATGGTGTTTAAAGCGAACGGTATTGGGTTCGAGTCCCGGAGTGAACATTAACTCTGAGTTTCAGGCATATCTGATTGACGATTCCCGAATTGGACGAAATGTACGTCAAATTGGATTTCACTGTTAACCATCATCCATCTTTGCTTAAAATGCTTGTGACTTAAAGCAATATCGGGGCAATCTATACAATATGCACATATGTCAATGATAGACTGGTTAATTGCTGTGCTAAACAATAATGAGAAGATTCAAGTAAACAACACCAAATTAATTTAAACTTCATCTCATTGCATAATCAAGTGACTAACAGGATTTAGTTGATAGGTGAATAACGCGATAGCGTTTGAAGCGAACATTATTGGGTTCGAGTCCAAGAATGAATATAAAGTTTGAGATTTGGATACATCTAGCTAACGAGTCCTGAATGAGACGAAACGCGCGTGAAACTGGATTTAACTACTAGCCATCATCTATCTTTCCTTATACATATATCTAACCTATCAAATTATAAAGAACAGGTCTATCAATCATAGCTACAAAGATCTACATGGAAAAAAGAAAAAAAAATACAGGTGGCAAAATGTACCCAATACATACTAGGGTTTTCTTGTTAGAGATTTACCATGATTTACATAAAGAAAATAGTTCACTGATCATTCCGGTTTCTTGATATTTCATTTGTCAGAAATTTACAGAGTTGTTCATAAACAACAACCAAAACTACAATTGATTG